CTTCATGATCCATCCACACTGCAGCATGGGTCAGAATTTCCTTCCTGTTAAAGACTGAGTGGGTACTTCACTGTATGGATAGACCACATTTTGTTTATCCGTCCAGACATTGGTGGTCACTGGGGTTGCTCCCACCTTCGGGTGTTGTGAATCACGCTGCCGTGAACATGGGTGAACACAGGTCTGTTTGCAGCCCTGCTTTCAGTTCTTGGGCCTGCCAGGGCTTAGGTACAAACCTCACTGGAGGCCACCAAAGTAACAGTCCCTGCAACCACTCTGGGAAGAGATCTTCGCAGAGCCACTCACACAAACCCATCCAAGGCCTGACTCTGCCCATGGTACCTCTGGCATACCCAGGGCCCGCGCTTCCTCACTCACGGTCCTATGGGAGCCACTCAAGCCAGACCCCAGCTGTTCCCTCCCTTGGAGAAGGCCACAGTCCTTGCTCTGTATTTTGTATCGCTGATGGCTGCACCTCTTATTACATAATCTGTTATTCTGTGCTGCACAGGGCCCTGGTTACTTGTCAAAAGTTTCTAAAAGCCAGCTGTATCAGCTCCAGGCAACTGGGGGTGCTGCCTCTCCCTCATAGTATTAGTCACTCTGTACTTAGCTAAATTTAACTTTTTATCATCCAAATGATATTTTTGTGGGCTTGGGATTTTACATAATGCTACCAACTGCTGCAGGCTAAGAATTTCTCCTCTTTGTTATGCGTGCATATGTGCGTGTGTGCGTGTGTGTGTGCGCGTGCGCGCGCACACACAGTGGGTTCCCCCCCCCCCATGAACTTCTGCATGCTCAAGGAGCATTGTTCAATTTCTTTTCCCTGCTCTGCTTTCTCAGGTCCAGGTTTTGTTCTTCGGGCTCTGCCTTTGCTGTTTACCAGCTGGGAGAAAAATAGCTCCTAACAGCTTTCTAATGGCCTGCTAATGCTTCCTTCCTCACCGGAGTGCTCTCCACTCCCAAGGTCTCTGAGGGTTTCCCTGCCGCCTCCAACAGTCTGAGTCTGAGCTTTGGGAAGGGAAGCTCAGCTCCAGAGTGAAGTGTTTGTTGAGAACATGGAGAGAAGCAGTTGAAAGGGGAGGGGGAACAGGATCAAGATATAAGGAACCCAGCCCTCCTGCCCAGGGTGTGGGCCTGTGCCGGGTGGGTGGAGGGGGAGGGCGCAGGGCTGTGGGAGGGGGAGAGAACCCAGAGACGCAGCCCAGCCACTATGACCTTTCCTGAGCCCCCATGGGGGGAGCGCTCTCTACATCATAACTCTGCCTGGGAGGTGCCCCCTGCATTTCCCCCCACCCCTCGAGGAAACTGAAGATCAGCTCAGTGAGGTGAAGGAGCCGTAGGAATTACAGCAGCAAACACTGAGCACTTACTGTGTGCTAGGCATGGCACTAAGCACTTGCTTTCCTTAGCTCACTGACTCTTCACTGCAGTTCTGTGAAATGGGTACCAGCGTCCACGCTCTTTTTCAAAGAAACTGAGTCCCAGAGAGCTTAGCAGTCACGGCCGGGAAGTGGCAGAGCTAGGTTTCAGAGTCTGCCTACCTCTTGGCCTCCTCTCAGCCACCTGGTTCTGCTGCCTCTTCTGGGCTAAGTGGTTTCCCCGGGCACACTGATGACACCCAGGCAGAGATGGCACTTGGGGACAGTGCCCCGTGCTCTTTCCCCTGCATTACTAGGCTAATTCTGGCCGATCTAGTTGCCAGGTTCCTCCCATGCAGGCCTATGTATAGGCTGCCTCTGGGAGGATTAACCACAAACTGGGATTTGCCTCTGGACAGAGGACCTGGGTGCCGGGGAAAGAGGGATGAGAAAGAATCTTACTGTCAGCCTGTGCCCATTCTATCTTCTGAGTTTAGAGAGTATTCAAAATGCAAATGTATTACTTGCTTTAAATTAAGCGACACTATTTGATTAAAAAATTATGAATTCCTAGGTGTATACCCAAAAGAATGGAAAACGTATGTCCCCACGAAAGCTTGTGCACAAACGTTCATGGCAGCATTATTCATGATGGCCAAACGGTGGAGGCAGCCCAGATGTCCACCTGTGGACAAGTGCATAAACAGAGTGTGGCCTGTTTATACAATGGAATATTATTGGGTCATAAAAAGAAATGAAGTACTGACACATGCTGCAACATGGATGAACCTCGAAAACATTATGCTAAGTGAAAGAAGCCAGACACAAGAGGATACATAATGTATCCGTTTATACGAAATATCTAGAATAGGCACATCCATAGAGACTGAAAGCAGATTAGCAGTTGCCAGGGGCTGGAGGAGGGGAGAATGGGAAGAGACTGCCCATGGGTGCAGCGTTTCTTTTTGGGATGATGAAAATGTTCTAGAATTAGGTTGTGGTGGTGGCTGTACAACCCTGCAAACAGACAATGACCATTGAACCATCTACTTTAAGAGGGTGGGTTTTATGGCATGTGAATTCTATCTCAGCTGAAAACAACCAGGAACCATGCCTGCAGATGGAGTCAAAGGCCCCGCGCTGTTGTCAGCACTGGACAGATTGCTTTGGCGCCACCTTCCATATGAACGGGCCTCTCCCCCTACCCATCCCTCAGCCACCTGCCTTGCAGTCGCCATGTCGACAGCGATGGAGCGGCACCGTCTCCCGTCGGCGGCACTGCCCACTCATTTGGAACTCACACTCTCCACGGGGGCCAGCCTGAGACAGGCGGACGTCTGGGCGGGCTAGTAACCTGGCACCCCATCAAACCAGTATTCTTTAAGTGTTTGTTTGACATTTATTTGATGGGAATGAGGAGAGACTGATATTCTATTAATAGGAATCGTATAGAGAAACAGATTCACTTACTAATTCACTTCCACGGACCGAAACAGCGTCAGGGAGCTGAAACATTTTTAGGAAAGAAATTCTGACTTCTGTTGTTCTCATCTCCCAAGGTTGTTTTGGTTTTCTTTTTCTTTTTCTCTTTTTTTCCTCCCTGAAATTTTCCAAATCATTCGAGAGGCATCTTGAAAATTTAGATTTAAAACTTAAAGGAATGAAATGTTTTCCCTTTGCTCCTGGGAAACAGCCCCACACGGTGTATTACCGGGTTTCGGGTCCCCCACCCCCTGCCAGGACTGTGACTCCACATGTGTGGAACGTGCGGGCTGCACATCTCGGCACAGAACCGTGTGCTGCTGTGATTTTCCATTTTCCCTTAGGGGAGTGGACCCGTTCGCTTCTTGCCATTTATGTCAGGGTCGCTGGAGGAAACCTGAGTGAAGCGGCAGCATATTTTTATTTCTTTCCAGTGATACTGGAGCCCCCCGCCCCTGGCAGTCTGCTCCTCGAGCAGCTAACCTGCCTTCGCTCTTTGCACTTGAAATACTTTTTGTCGGAAACACAATTCCCTGCAGTGCTCCTCTTTGCGTTCCAAGAGTGCCTTTTTCTCACAGCCCCTGCGGATCTAATTCTGCCGGGCGTGAGTCACCGCTGCCCTTCTTGCCCACGGAGAGGCAGCTTGGTGGGCTGGAGCGGCCGGCCTGCCACACGGGCTGGCCATTGACTGGCGCGTTACCATGACGAACGCTCAACCCTCCCAATGGGTTTCCTTGCCTCCAAAATGGGGAGACCCCAGGGTCATTGGAAGGTGTCGCAATGGAAGCTAAGGAACAAAAACCACACAGAGGCCTGGCCCGCTGCAGCAGGCGGTGGAGTGTGAGGAGAGGCTGCAGGGCGTGGGGATCCTGGGACACTTTGTTTGTCAGGCGTCAAGTGTGTACAGAGGTGGGCATGTGCGGCCATGGAGACAAGGGACTCAGTCCCACGGGGGCTTCTACACCCCTGGCACAGCTTCCCCAGGGGGTGGCGTGCAGGACATCGCACGCTGCAGGACAGGGGCAGGAGTGTGAAAAGCCACGCTCCCTGCAGCCACACCCCCAACTGCTGTACCTCCCCAGCCACTATTCCAGTCCCCTTTGGTTTGGCTTTCACCTCTATCGAGGCCACTAGCCCTCCCGGGCAGGGGCGGCTGTCTGAGGAGCCCCTGTGCCTGGCCTCAGCCCTTGAAGCAGGGGTGCCCTGGAATTGGCGCTGGTTCCTGGAACAGTCCCGTTCCCCACGGCCTGCAGGGGAGCTGCCTCTTGTCACAGTCACTGGGGCGGGGCGGGGGGGCTTCTGGGCTGCCGCCTGCTCTCTGGGCACAGGAGGCTCAGGGGTGTGTCAGGCAAACTAGGATGTGTGTTGAGCTGCAATATGGGCTATGGGCTTGTCTCAGGTCCCCACAGGAGCCCTGGGTTGGGTGGTGGCTTCCGTGGTGCTTGTTAATACTCTTGTCATCTCCATGGCCTGCTGGACCCGGGACTCCCTGGAAGTCTGTTTGTCCACCTTTTTCATTTTGTTTTGAGCGCTCATCTCTCACTTCTGGCTACTTGGCAAAGGTGGGCATCAGATCACCATCTGCCCAGCTGGAGGGGCTTGCCAGGAAGGCCAAAAGTCACCTTACCACCCCACACGGTGACCACACTTTTAGTGTCCCGGGCCGAGTGTCTCCCGCTCTTCTTCCTGCTCTGTCTGGTTTTCCAGCCTCCGCGCTGCAATCTGAAGTCCTCTAATCCCAGCAGGGTTCATGGGTGAAAAACCTCAGGTTTGAGATGAGCGCTCCAGGTGGGCTTCCAGTATGTCCTGGGGGTCTCGGTTCTGGCTCCCTGAGCAGTTTGCCAGAGCACACGGGGCGCCGGGCAATATCAGGGTGCATCAGTCTTTAGCAACTTGCTCCCTGAATGCATCCTGACCTGGGTCCCCTTGTAAAGTGGAGACACCTTCTGTCAGACGTCCCCTCTCCAGCCCTCCCAGTCCATCGGGATGGCTCATCTCTGGCATGGCTCAGGGGGAGACTTGGCTCTGCCCATCTCCCAGTCGGGTTGGTGTGATCACAGAGTCCGGGAATCTCACCTCCTCTCCCATTTGGCTTCTCCCTGCAGGATGCTGGCACGTGTGTCCTGGCCCCTGACACCCTTCTGCGAGCCTAGGGATCCATCCCCCTCCTGTGGCAGGGACATTGCTGGAGCCGCCTCAGACGCACAGGTAAGGCCCCATGTGCCTGTGCAGTGGCACGCGCCTCCCAGGGCGGGGGCCCTGCAGACAACCCTGGCTTTGGGGTTTGGGGGTGCAGAGGCTTTGCTGCCGTTTCCTTCTTCCCTTAGAAGCCTGAGTTTATCTGATTAACATGGGGTAGCTTGTGTTTATTGATTATGCTTCTGCAAATACCGACTTCTCTTCACTAAATAGGAAAGACTGATGTTCTGACTCTGGTAGCTTTAGATTCCAAATACGATAAGGCACTCCCCAGGCCAGCCCGTGAGGCCCCTGAGGCCGCGGTTCTCCCATTTGTAGAACACCCTGGGTGGCTCTTTCCTCTTTGTTCCCGAGGCCGCACCTGGCCCTGCCAGTACATGGAACAGGACAGGCAGGAGTTTTGCCTTCGGAGACGGCGGCTTCCTCCGAGCCCTGGCTGCGGACACCCAGGCTCTAGCTACTCTCCAGCCTCAGCAGTGGGCAGAGGCTGGGCTGCTGCCTTGCACGGTTGCCCACAAGCCACGGTCCATGGCCTGGAAACAGCATGTGTGTGTCTTTACACACGCCATCGTGTTCCTGAGTCTCGGGCACAAGCCCTGGCCCTGGGCCCTTCTTTTATGCCAAGGCCTGTGAAGCGCTTGTTCCTTTTCCTTTCCTAAACCCTGACGAAGCCTTCTTCTGGATACTTACTGGCTAGTTTGAACTCCGGGGGCGTGGAGGGTGGATGTTCCATGAAGGAGACTAGCATAGCTGGGGTGCGGATGCTTTAATGTCCCCAGCCCCTGCCGTGTGAGGGCTGGGAGATGCACCATCTCTGCTAAGTCCACCGCGACCCTGTGCAGCACCTGTTAGGATCCCATTTTACAGGAGGAGGCTGAGGCTCAGAGATGGCAGATATCAGGCTCGAGATCACACAGCTAGCCAATGGTAGGACTGGGATTGGACCCCGAGTCTAGACTTGAAGCATATGGTAGGTTTTTCCAAATTCAGCCCATCACTCAAGGTGCCCTTGGTCTGGCCCAGGCTTAGGCCTTACTTGCTCTCTGACCCCATGTAAGTCCCCTCCCTTCTCCGTGCTTCGCGACCCTCACTGGGAAGATGGGGCACGGCCTCTCGGGCTGCCTCTGGTTCCGCAGTGCTCTCTAGCTCCAGGCTGCCGCTATGGGCTGTTTTCTTCTCGAATTGCTCATTTGCTCATTCTTTTCAGTTGCCGTGAAAAGGCCTCCAAGTGCTAAGAAGAGAGTGTTATGTTGTATTTCTTGTTTTGTTTTAATTCACTTTGCAAAGTGTCCTGGCTGTCGGGAGTGGGTGTGGGGGAGGGTGGGCACAGTGACTCTCAGCCCTGACTCGCATCTTCACGGGGGTCGCTTGGGTTCTGCGGGATCGGAGCCCCGTCGTTGTTGTCCTATTTCCAGTGACTTAGCTGCCAACTCGAGCCAGGGGCCCAGCGACAGCTCTCTGCTCCGTGTGGCCTGAGCTCTGATACTGCCTGGCATTGCGCCGAGGGACCCTGCCCCAGCGCAGCCTTGGCTTCCTGTTTCCTTTCTTACAGGAAGGAGGTTCTTCTTAACAACTGCATTCCAGAGTTCGGTGGGTTTGCAGGGGTGATGGCCTTGCAGCCCGCCTCTCCCAGAGGTCCTTGCTTCGACCCCAGATGTCCTCAGGCGTCCCTCTGCTCCACTCATTCACAGAGCACGTACTTACTGAGTGCTTAGTATGTGCCAGGGACTCTTCCAGGTGCCAGGGACGTAGCTGTGAACAAAACAAACAGGAGTCCCCGCCCGCGTCCAGTTTGTGTCTGGCACACTCTGCACTTTGCGTGTGCTGTTCCAGCGTCCTGGAGTTCCCTCTCCCCACCTTCACCTGTCGGGTTCCCGTTCCCCCTCCCAAGCCCATTTCAAACACCTCCTTTTCTCTAAAGCTCCTTGCAAGCCCCAGATCCACACTGGCCTTTTCTTCCTCTCCCTGAGTTGTCACAGCATACTGCACACTGCTTGGACCTTTCGTAGAATTCTTGGCACCATTTGCCCTGAAATATTTGGGTAGGTGTCTGTGTTTGCCATCTGCTGGAAACCCTTTAATGTGGGAGACTTGTCTTTGGACCCCTGTTCCTTACCCCCAGATCCAGGACCAGAGAGCTGGTACCACTTGCCTAAGGCCTTCCCCACTCACCTGCTTTCCCCGAAAACCCACCCCAGACCTAGAAAATGGCAGGCCCCCAGTGGGGACGATCAGGGTCGCCCCCTGCACACCTGAGGCCGAGACAGGCAGAGGGACCACCGAGCCCTGGGTAGCGAGAGTCAAGAGTCGTGGGGTGGAGAGGGGCAGCCCTCCCAGAGTGGCTGAGCACGTGAACCCTCTTTCTCGCCTCTTCTCCACAGGGGGCTGAGGAAGGAAAGGGCTCAAGGACCAGAGTTTATTTTTAGAAAAACTCCTTGATCCAAAGGCGCTGGAGCCCTTCCTTCCAGAAGGTGGGGGTGGCGGGGCTGTGTGTCCCAGCACAGCCTGGCTGTCATTTGCAGACAGGGCCTGCCTCAAAGAGGGGATCCCAGCCAGGGAGAGCATGTGCCCTCAGCCCCTCCGGAGTCGAAGATGTTCGCCATTCTGAGCGGGTGAACAGAGCGTCTATAATAGCTTTGCCATCAACCTCAGTGCTCCTGGGCCGGGAGGGTCCTGGGCTGGGGTAGGGGCTTCCTTCCGGACTCCCCGCAGGACTCACACAGGGAGGGGTGCTTCCTGCCTTTGTCTCTGTGACAGGCCTCAGCAAGGTCACTGTCTCCTGAGGAGGAAGACAGCTGATGACTTGGGCAGGGCCTCCGACCACAGCAGCAACTGACACAGACTTTCCAGGGCGCGTCCCCACCTCCCCAGCTGCCCCCACCGTGCCTCTCCCCCCGCCTTCCCTTGGCTCCTTGTTTGCAGCCCAGACCCAGGTGGCAACGGAGCTTCCCTCCTTCGCCTGCAGCAGCGGAACCCTCCACCCCAGGGCCGTGCGAGGAAGGCTCTGTGGGGTTTAGGTCTGTGCTAAGTCACGTGTTAGGAGGCTGCAGCCCAGAGCGGGGAGGCGCATGGAAGGAGGGGACTGAACAACCTCATGCTGTGGTGCGCAGATGCCCCTGAGGTCCCCAAGGGCAGGGAGCTTGTGCTGAGCCCTTTGCTGTCCCCATGGTGCTTGGTAGAGAGCAGGGCAGGTCCAGTGAACCTTGGCATGCCCGGGCAGCCCTGTCCCCCTCCTGACGTGTCCCGTCTGCATTTTGCACACCCCCAGCACTGCTCAGGACTCTCCCCTTCCTTACACACCTTCAGGACCCCTCCCCTCAGGCACATGCCCACAGGGGTCAGCTATTCTCATCCTCCCTCCTCTTCCTGGAGCTCTGGGGACCTGCCCCTGCATTTGTCCTGTGTGCTTAAGCAGAGCACGGTTCCCCAGAATGTACTTTATTTTCAACCAGGTGGCGGAAGCTGCATTTCTCTGGCTTGTGTCTCTGGGCGCTGCTGTCGTTCACTGGAGATTCGCTCAGGCGCGCCACGCTTTCGGAGGGGTGGGCACGAGTGAGTTCCACTCGCGCCCTCTGGGTCGGGCAGGGCCAGGAGGGATTAGACGCTGCACTGCTGCCGGCTCAGCCTGGGTGCTCAGGGCTGGGGCCTCCTCTGGAGCTCTGCCTGCAGGTTCTCCACACTGGACACCCTCTGGCCACCTTCGTCTCCCTCCTCCTCCCATTTCTGCCTCCCCTTGGCTCTGATAAAGAGCCCCTGCTCCAGTGCATTTCCTGTTCGTTCCCTCGACGGGTGTCCAGTGCGGCAGAGGAGCCGTGTGATGACCTCATCTTCCCGCCGGGAGGCACCTGGAGGCATCTGCTCAGCCCAAGCCTCCTGCCTCCAGCACCCAGGTGCAGTCAGCAGCTTCCTGGACCCGTGTCCCCTGTGTCATTTCCTTGCTTTGTTCCTTCACACGCTTCCTGCCTAGAGCAATCACTTTTATTCCCAGAGACAGCGTCCAGAGCTTGGAATTGTCAGAGGGATTCCTGAGAGGATGCCGTTCAAGCAGGAGAGTGGTGTAGCTTGAGACTCTCCATTTTAGCAGCACGATCGACCCCACAGTGGATCAAAACTTATTCGTTCGACATGTATGTAGGGAGGACCTACTCTTCTAGGGGCTGAGTGTGAAGACGTGATAAAACATTAAGAAATTGTGGCCCTCCTAGGGCTTAGAGTCTAGTGGGGGTAGATGCTCCATAGACAGACAGGCAGTAAAACATGGGAGTGTATCAGGTGCTGAGCAAAGTCACATAAAGCAGGGGAAGAGAAGGCCTCCCAACATGGGGACATATGAGCAAAGGCCGGAGGGAGGCAAGGGAGTGAGCCAAGAAGTTATGTTGGGGAGGAACATCCAGGCAGAGGAGACAGCCTGTGCAAAGGTCCTGAGGCCCTTAAGAAAGTATGAGTGAGTATGGGGAAGAGAAGCAGGGAGGGGGTCGAGCATACAGAGGGCCCCGATAGAGCAGGGCCGCGCAGGCTGTGTCAAGGCCTTGACCCTGACTCTGAGTGACGTGAAGCTACTGAAGTGTGAGCAGTGGAGGGCCAGGATGTGATTTGTGCTCTGAAGGGCTGGTTTCTAGCTACTATGTTGAGAACAGGCCAGATGGGGTGACAGGAAGAGGCAGGGGGGCTGTGGGGAGAGACGGAAGGTAGAGGGGATGGTGAGGGTGTTTGGCCCCAGGTACATTAAGGCAGAACTTAAAGGAATTGCCAGGGCATTGGGTGACCCTTGCTTAAAAGTAGGTTTTCGTGGGCTTGGAGGGACCCAAGAAACCATCTGGTCCAACCTTTTTATGTAACCCACAGGGAAGCTAAAGTGCCATTAAGGAAGTCACTTGTCCATAGTCACACGGAGAGCTGGTTAGCGGCAGAGCCAGGATTTGAGCTTCTGGAATGCAAGTCCCATGTTCTTGCAGCAGAACCAAGGGAGGGTTCCAGGGAGGAAACTTGCAGAAGGTTGAGGGCCGAGG